ATGAGAAAGAAATGTCAGTAAGCTGTCTTCTGCGTGCCCCCTACTGGGGATGTGCCCGCCAACAAGGTACATGCCCTTGACCAGAATCGAACCTGGGACCCTTCAGTCCTCAGGCCGATGCTCTATCCACTGAGCCAAACCGGTTAGGGCTGTATGGTTCTTTTTTTAAATTTAGATATTTAGTTCATCTGAAATTTAATGTTCTATAGTGTGATATAGAGCTCTTACCTTACTGATTTTATAGAATAGGTAGATGAGCATTTATTGACTGGATGTGTAGTTAAGCCTTATTTACTGACTTAACTGGGCCTGCATTTTTATTTTATTGGCCCTACACAGGGTTTTTAAAAATTTTAAATTAATTACTGATATTTCTTAAATTAAGGGATTTTGCTTATTAATTTCTTATTTGTAGCTTCTCTTAAAAAGTGAATCTGGCAGCCTGGCAAGGGTGGCTCAGTTGGTTGGAGCGTCGTCCTAGGTATCAAAGAGTCATGGGTTTGATTCCAGTCAGGGCACATACCAAGGTTGTGGGTTTGAATCTTGGTCATGGTACATATGGAGGCAACTGAGCGATGTCGCTATGTCTGCCTCTGTCTGTCAGTCTCTCTTTCTCCCTTACTCCCCTCCTTCCCTCTCCTATGAACTTCTGAAGCTCAGCTAGCATCAGTTAGTTCCCTGGTCTCTTTTAGGAGTGCTACTGACCTCCTTACTTTTGGTCTGAGGCAGGAGGAGAAGGACTATGTGGATTCTAATAGGTCATAACTACTTTCAAGTCTACATCATTTAAAAAGACATTTTAGTTTTTTTGTAAAGTTTATGGTTCTCATTAGAACTTATGTTTAATCATGTTGATGAAACTATTGTACTTCCAAAACATTACAAGCGTCAGTCTTATTAAAGATCTTGCTCTCGTTGATAACTTAGTGGAGGGAAATATTTTCCCATTAAAATTGTATTAAAATAATTTAAATATAATAGAAATGACATACTGAAATGCACTAAAATAAGCAATAAACAAACTGCTTGTAAATAAGCATCAGAAGCCAAATTCTCAAGAGACCTGTAGCTTTTATGGGGAGAAAAGAAAAATAGCACAGCATTTTTCACTCACTAGTTCTGTCACTCCTTTAAAATACATTAATCTTGGTAAATCCTGTCCAATGAATCGCTAACATTTTCTTAAATAGTCTGGTCACTATCCAGGATCAGTTTGATCACCTTTTAGCAAGACCTGCATGATGCTTTTTAGGATTTCTCTTTAGAATGTGTTGGGCTTTGTAATTCATTGTCTTTACTCGGAACTTCAGCTGAAGCTGTGAAACATCAGGAACTGCTCCCATTTAATATCCAAATTAGCTTAAATATGAGAAGATAGGAATAGGGAAATGTGGAACTCTAGCTAAGGATATCTGGGTGACAATTCTTCTCTATGTGGATTGAAATAGGTCATAACTACATAACTACTTTCAAGTCTAGATCAGTTAAAAATACATTTTAGTTTTTTTGTGAAATCTGTGGTTCTTATTAGAACTTACGTTTAATCATGTTGATGAAACTATTGTACTTTCGAATATTACAAGTCTCAGTCTTATTCAAGACCTTCTTAATGACCGCCTCAAATTAAATTTGAAAATGATGTTACATTGACATATAAAGCACTCCTTTTACTTATGTCACTTTTAAAGGATTATGGTAAAAATTTCAACTAAAAACAGCCTTTTTTTTTAAAGGTACTGAGTAGCATCAATTCAATTATTCACAATCCAAGAGCTCCAGTAATACTTTATAAACAGAGCAAAGGAGGAGTCCAACATTTTAATAAAAATTTTGATCAAGATTGTGGATTTGAGCATCTTGTTCCTATCCTAGAAATGTGGGCAGATCAACTGACTTCCCTAAAGGTAAGGGGTTGTATAGTCTTTACATGCTTAGAAAATCTTTTGGAGTTGTGGACTTTATTAATAGGCTGGCATAATTTGTTTTGTTTGATTGTAAAGCTGAAACAGTTTATCTTATTAAATGTTAATCTTGCTACTTACATATCCATTGTAAGTACTGCCTTCTTGATGTTGTCATTACTATAAGCTGCCTCCTATAAGGTTCTACCAAACAAGACATTTTTTAGGCTTATTGCCTTGTTGGAAATCTATAGTAGATCCACTTTGACTTCTAGGTGCTTCCCTGTTCTACCTTCATCTCCCTCTTTTTGATATCCCCATGGTACAGATTTTCCTGGCCCTTAATCCTCTTTAAATGTAATGTCTTATCCTTCATTCCATTTTAATTGGGAATGTTCCTTTTCTCTTCATATTTAAAATTATTATTTTTTCTTTTAAAGTTTATCTCCATGTCTGTCTATTCTGTGGAGCAGGTTTTGGTCAGATAGCTAGCCAATACTGCTATTACTTATTCTTTTTATCCATGGAAGATGCAATTTTCTTCACTTTAGAGAGTTGTATATTTTTGTTTGTTTGTTTTTGTGTTTTTTAAAAAAATATATATTGATTTTTTTTTTTTTACAGAGAGGAAGGGAGAGGGATAGAGTGTTAGAAACATCGATGAGAGAGAAACATCGATCAGCTGCCTCCTGCACACCCTCACTGGGGATGTGCCCGCAACCAAGGTACATGCTCTTGACCAGAATCGAACGTGGAACCCTTCAGTCCGCAGGCCGATGCTCTATCCACTGAGCCAAACTGGTCAGGGCAAGAGTTGTATATTTTTTTATTAACTTCAGGTTTTTCTAGTTTTTGTTGAGTAGCTCACTGAAAGGTGAATTGCTAATTGATTTGAGAGAGGAAGGGAGAGGGAGAGAGAGATAGAAACATCAATGAGAAAATCATTGATTGGCCGCCTCCTACACACCCCCCACTGGGGATTGAGCCTGCAACCAAAGTATGTGCCCTTGACTGGAATTGAACCTGGGACCCTTCAGTCCACGGGCCAACACTCTATCCACTGAGCCAAACCAGTTTAGGGCTGTACCCTTTAAATTTTAGATTTTTCAATAACTAATACATATATAGCACTCCTCTGTTCATGAAGGTGTGATTCAGTAATAGTATTTGTCAGAAGTATTTGTCACAGGAAGTATAAAGGGTGCAGAAGATACGAGTAAGAATGTATAAGCTCCAGGGGTTTTGTCTTTGTCCTCTGACGTGTTCCAAGGAATCTCCTGATATATAATAAATGCTCAATATTTGTCAAAAGAATAAAGCAGAATAACACATTCCAAGGCAACAAAATAGAGAAAATAGTACTGAATTTTAAAAGTTTTTAATGAAAACACACCTGTAACTGGTGAAAGAATCTTCACATTTCATTCTAATTTTTTCTTCCCATTTTAACTAGGGCTCAGTAGAGCTATAAAATAAGGAAAATTTTTAATTGAGTGACAGAGTTGGATTAATATATCTATTTTATAGGCTTGAGTTCCTCCAGTTTATATCTTAGAAGAGAGTGAAATAATTAGTGATTACTTATGTAAATCATGGCATTTTCCAAATTATTGCTTGTCAGGGGATTCTTCCGGTAGTAGAGAATAGTGCTGACTTCAATTTACTCCTTCTCAGGGAAGATGGGCTAAAAAAATGCCCCAGCCTTCCCAAAACAAGGGAAAGATTAGAAGAGAAAGGAGGCAAAGGAAGAATCAAAGAAATGGATAGTTACCTGTTATTTACTGTGTTCATTGTGGGAGGTATCAGAAAATGTGGACACAGGTTCAGATTAATTGGAGAGAGAAAACATGCTAAAATATATGAAATAAAATTTACCATAGGAAGAAATGAGAACAGATAGGCCATGAAGTGCCAAGTGAATGATGCAAATAACTTGTACTCCAAATTCTGGAGGAGGAAGGAGCTCCCAGGAAAAGCTTTACAGTGGTGGTGAGTTCTTGCTACTGTATATTTTTCCCACTCGAAGGAGACAAGGAGAATTAGTTTTATAATTAGAATATCCTGAGGACCCCCAACAGGAATTTAGTGACCTTGCCACTGAAGTAACTCAGATTTGGGGCCGTGTGTCAGGTATTTACCTTATACTGCAGAATAGGGGTCCAAATTGAGGAAGCACATGAGGTTCTTTGAGGTCTCCTCATATGAAAGGTTTCCTATACTGTAGCAGCCTCTCAGTTTGGAACAGCTATTTTCCCAACTTAGTTTATTTCTCAAGTTAGATTTGGCGTAAAAGAGAAGGATAGAAAAAGCGTGGAGCTAGTAGCTAGCTGTCTCCTTCCTTCCATCTTTCCACCACCCACATTTCCCGAAAAGTTGAGCTACGGAGTCTGTAGCTTTCCCAGCCCAATGGTGTGCTGTAGCTTTCCCATCCCCTAGTGCTCCAGAGGCCAGCCATCCAAAGTCAGTCATGACCTGTACTTCTACATCCCTTAGCTGAGCAGTGTGGAGAATCTAGAAGACCGTCTTCTAGGTTTTTCAGGGCTCGCTTGATGGACCGCTTACAGCCATCCTGCACTGCTATGTACATCAGACATCTTCCCCCGCTTAATCTTGCTAAGACTTTTATTCTCAAGCAAAATTTTATAATTGGTGTGGTTTGTACCATAGGCCATTTGTTTATGACTGCATCCTGTTGATGGAACGTTGGTTAATGAAGATTTCATTACGCTGCAACTTTAGGACTTTTTAAAATATTCTGGTGTCACCTAATGTTTAAAACATTCATTTGACACTGAATGTATTGCCTTGAATTGCTAAAATAGGTAATTACCTTCTTACCAAATGAAAGGTTAAATATATCAATATGTGAAGTTTGGGCATTAATTGGAAAGTGTTAAATAAGTGGTGGACTAAAAGAGTTGGAAAAGGAATTTCCTATATACCTGGTACTTCTTTCTGTATTCTGAAATTGCACTACTACGGTAACCACCTGCCACATACAGCTTTGATCATTGAAATTGAGATGTGCTATAAGTATAAAATACACCATTTAGAAGACTTAGTGTGGAAAAAAAATATTAAATGATAATAGTTCAGATATATTGGGTTAAATAAAATCATTAATGTCACGTGGTTCTCTTTTTAAAGTGTGGCTACTATGCAATTTAAAATTACTATGGCTCACATTTCTTTTGGACAGTATTGTTCTAAAGGGCCAAGTACTGTGCCGTGCGCGTATGGATGTTCAGTAAATATTTGTTTAGCGGTTGACCAGTTTAAAGTTCTAAACTTTCAGTAACCTCGCCGCTATACAGTTTAAAATAGATTAGGGCAACGTGTCTAGACCAGGCAAACTAAGTAGGCCATCATCAAGATTAAATATAATTAATTTAGTCATCCTTTCAAATTAAAACCTGCTTGGAGATATATGCTATAGTATGGGTGAAGCTGGAAAATATTATCCTAAATGAAAGAGGCCAGTCACAAAAGGCCATTTATGATATGATTCCATTTTATGTGAAATGCCCAGAATAGGCAAATCCATAGAAAAAGAAAGCAGATTAGTAGTTACCCAGGGCTTAGGGTCAGGACAGAATGGGGAATGACTTCAAGTAGGTGCAAGTTTATTTTTGTGCTGATAATAATGCTCGGAAATTAAATATCGGCTTCATAGCTCTGTAAATATATTAAAATACTCAATTGTACACTTAAAGAGGGTAAATTTTATGCTGTGTGAATTACATCTTAAGTCTGTTATGAAAAATTCAAGGCCAAAATATAAAGAACAAGCTTATTTTTTATCCATCAATAATCAAACCAATTACTTAAATTACATAAGCTAATAATAAAATAATATATAATTGCTTAAAACATCCAGTTCAAAGACAATTAATATAGAATGTTTTATGTAAGGCCTATATTTACCTGGAAAAAACTATTTAATAGGCTTTCCTAAACTGGTAATGGTATTTAAAAAAAATACTGATAATAATTAATGTACTTAGTAAATCCTAACATAAATACTGATTTAAAATATATATATTTTTTATTAGAGGGATAGAGAGCCAGAAACATCAATGAGAGAGAAAAATTGATCAGCTGCCTCCTGCACACTCCCTACTGGGGATGTGCCTGCCACCAAGGTAAATGCCCTTGACCAGAATCGAACCTGGGACCCTTGAGTCCACAGGCCAACACTCTATCCACTGAGCCAAACTGGTTAGGACTAAATCCTGATTTTTAAAAAGACATTGAGACGTAATTATATTTTATTAGTATTTTTATGGAAACTTATTTTTAAACCAATAAAATCTTGTTATTTCTTTTGTTATAAAGGATTTGTATAAGTCCTTGAAAACACTATCTGCAGAATTGGTGCCTTGGCATAATTTAAAGAAGCAGGATGAAAAGGAAGGTATCAGAGTTGAAGATCTGTTGTTTATAGTAGATACCATGTTGGAAGAAGTTGAAAATAAGGAAAAGGTAATACTTAATACTTATGAAAA